TTTAGCATTACATATCACATGTATCCCAGCTGGCACCTGGTTTATTGCTAATATATCATTGATTTAACCCTTGTGGGTGTTACACTTTTGTAACTCAGCCAGTGTTTGTGGCTCCAGTGAATCCACTGAAATTTTTGGTGAGAAAATCAATTATAATAAAGATATAAGTGAAAAAATATATTATGCAACACTGTTAGGCCACAATACATGTGCTAAAATGTGCAGGGCCTTCAATGTGACAGCAGATGTAGCTGCTTGAATTATGCAAGACACACTTTTATTACCCCTGTCCAGTGAACCCGGGCATCCTGTATGTAATATCAATGTGTAGGGGGGGTGTACAGTGTGTGGTCATTGAAAATGTGTTCTGGTATATGTTCTTGACAAAAAATGAGCCAAGGCCAAAGGGTCTGAGCTTGAAAAAATAATTAATCGTATAATTTTTCTTCCGATGAAAAATGAAAACGGGTCCCGAACACAAGATGAGGGTTAAATGCATATTTCAACGTCCAGTGCTGTGACACTGTGACACTGACTCACAACACCTCTTGTTCCTCGTATCAGTCGTGATTTCCACTTCTGAATCATGTGAACCAGGGATGGGGAGAGTTCAGGACCTGTTAGCACTGTGTCAGTCAACTCTGAGGGCTCTGAAAGTCAGAAACACATGGAAAACACCACAACTTATTTAAGTGTTTAATATGATGTTGGCCCACCCTTTGCAGCTATAACAGCGTCAATCCTTCTGAGAAGGCTGTCCACAAGGCTTAGGAGTGTGTTAATGGGAATTTTTGACCATTCTTCCAGAAGCGGATTTGTGAGGTCAGACACTGATGTTGGACGAGAAGGCCTGGATCGCAGTCTCCACTCTAATTCACCCCAAAGGTGTTTTATCAGGTTGAGGTCAGGACTCTGTGCAGGCCAGTCAAGTTCTTCCACACCAAACTCACTCATCCATGTCTTTATGGACCTTGCTTTGTGCACTGAAAACTACACAACAAAGTAACAATAAAGAATTTTAAACATGTCTAAGTAGAGGCACATTAACAACACTGAGCAGTGATGGTAAGTGATGGTGATAGATGTGTATATACATTTTAAAAAATGCATTAATGGAGTGATAGCAATGCTGTCTCATTGTCAGTACAACACAAGCATTTAAATACATTTCGGAATTTTACTTTTCTACCAAGGAATCTGCTTAATGCATTCAGATTCATCAGACAGGCATCTAGTAAAAAAAAAGAAAAACAAACACATTGCTGCCTTCATTAGTGTATATCTGGATACAGCTGTTTTATTGGAGCACCAGAACAAACTGTCAAATAGTCCTGCTCTTGTGTCACTATCTGATTATAATCTATATCATAACTATTTTGATGTTTTGTTACCATCAACACGCATGACAGAGATGAATATCTTCTAGGAAATGTTAGTAATTCCTTAAAGCTCGTTAATGATTTCAGGGAGGACCTGTAAGCCATAAATCAAATGGTAAAGGTGCTGACGAGAATCACTGAGGAGCAACCTTTTATTTACTGATCTGCCTCAATGTACTACAAACACATACAGTGGGGCAAATAAGTATTTGATGCACTGCCGATTTTTCAAGTTTTCCCACTTACAGAAAACGCACAGATCTGTAATTTTCATCGTAGCTACACCTCAACTGTATGAGACAGAATCTACAAAAAAATTCCAGTAAATCACATTGTTAGATTTATAAATAATTTATTTCCATTTTATTGCATGAAATAAGTATTTGATCGCCTACCAACCAGCAAGAATTCTGGCTCTCACAGACCTGTTAGTTTGTCTTTAAGAAGCCCTTCTATCCTCCACTCATTGCCTGTATATTAATTGCACCTGTTTGAACTCGTTACCTGTATAAAAGACACCTGTCCACACATTCAATCTATCAGACTCCAACTTCTCCACTATAGGCAAGACCAAAGAGCTGTCTAAGGACACTAGGGACAAAATTGTAGACCTGCACAAGGCTGGGATGGGCTACAGGACAATAGGCAAACAGCTTGGTGAGAAGGCAACAACTGTTGG